GACCCGGTACCCGGCTTCTTATATATTTTTTATTTTAATTTTGTATTAAATTTATTCCTAATTCTCAAATTATTTCACTCCAACATTCTAAATTACTAATTTCTTAAATTATTTCACCATAACATTTTAAATTCTTAATTTTTTAAATTATTTCATCCTAACATTCTAAATTAATTTTTCAATTATTTATTTTAACTCCAAAATATTTTAAATTTAATTGTATTTCTTTATCTTATTTTTTTAATAAGTTTTATCTTTCAATTATGTACTTTGAACTTTTTAAACTTTATGGTGGGTTATGTATTATAGATTTTTAAATTTTTTTTATCTATGTGATTTTTTTTAAATAATATAATTTAAAAAAATTAAAAAATATATGAACCGAGTACGTGTGACCCGAAAATAAGAGTACTCAGGCTTTACAGGTATCCGACTTACAGCTACTGAACTTAACGGGTCGGGACACGGGTTGACATTTTGGTACCCAAACCCCGTGTACCTAATATTTCGAATACCCAAAATTGCTAAGTCGTTGGTCAACTTCATTAAATTAAAATAAAATAAATTCTATATTTTATTTAAATTTAATTATCTCCAATACTATAACTATCCCACTTCCTAAGTCGTTTACCTATCTCACTTTTCAATTCATATATATATCTTAGGTTAGAACAAAAAAAGCGTGTAGGAATTGTCGAAACGGTCCTTGAGCTTTTTAGGACTCATCGTGGGGATCGGTCCAACTTAATCTTGGGAAAATGTTAGGTTTTAAAATAAAACAAATAAATATTTTTGGAGTCTCCATCGACCTTTGGGTTAAGTAGATCGAATACCTAAAAATACATTTTAAAATAATTTTAATATATAAAAATTGATCTACGATTAACCAGAAATTCGTTTTGAAAAGGGTTCGGGAGTCGATTACGTGTGGGGAATGATTAACACCCACACAAAACCCAAAATCGGTACCTAAACAATTATGCGTCATCTAAATATTGAAATTGGCAAATTTGAATATACATTTAAATCATGATCTTTTTTAGAAAAATACCAGGGGTATTATTTTGCACGAACAATTCTCGAAAATACCTTCATTGTCAATTAAGGGGGCACTTCCATGAATTTCCCATACAAAATAATATTGCCCAAGTTTTTAGATCAAATACATATATTAAATATATTAAAACAAAAATTCATTCGAAAATAAAATATATTATTTGGATCAAACAATTCTTGGAAACACACTCCTTGTCAGTTAAGGCGCGTTCCTATAAATTCCTCGAGTAAAATAACATTTGAAAATATTACAACTACTGAGAAATTAGAAAATATATAAATAATGGACCAAAATAATAAAAAATGATGACTTTAGGGATTAAAAATACAATCAACAAAAATAAAGGCAACCATTACGAATATTTCACAATCCAAGTACTACAATCGTAAATACACCAACTTTATTCGTTCAAGACCAAAATGGAAATTATTAAAGTAAGGCACTCAAATTAAAATATTTCTAAAAAATAAGACAAAAAGTGAAATGGGACTAAAATGAAATAAAAATAAATACAAAATCCAAATCATAAACCATCAGTAACTAAAATGCATAAACTCAAAATATCGTATCTAAATTATAATTAAATAATAAACAAAATACAAATAGTGGCTAAAATGAATAAAAGTAAAAATCAGTGAATAAATTTGAATAAGCTAAAATAATAAAAAATGACTTAATTAAAATAATCACAAATTATAGAACAAAGTTAAAGAAATAAAATAAATAGAGAACTAGTGACCGAAATGTAAAACGCATAAAGTAGAAGGGCTTTTAAGAAAATAAACCAAAAAGTTAGTGTTGGAAATTAAAAAGGTAAAATCACTAAATCAATCCCTAAGCATTTAAAAAAATTAAAAAGTCACTACGCATGACCAAAATGTAAAACATGCCTAAAAGTACAGGGACCAAACAATAATTAAATCAAAAATATATAAAATGCATCATAAATGGGTAAACTGCAAAAACGGTCGCTACATGTGACCATTTTATAAAAACACGCAAACTTATGGGACCTAAGTGCAATTGCCACTAAAGTTTTCTATAAATATCAACTTTTTTATTTATTTCATTTTTTAAAAAAAAACTAGAGAGAGAAGCTTCTCTCTAAAAAAATCGGCAACACCGGTGACTTATCACCGTCAATCATCATTGTCGGTCGTCACCGCCGCCGGTGGCCAATGGCCACCAGATTACACTAGGAGGTCCATCTTGGCCTCCCCGTCTTCGATCTAGGGTCGATTTTGAAAGAATCGACCCCAAGCTCCACGAATCTAGCCGAAACCGTTCGGCTTTCCTTTCTCTGATATGTCGTCGTCTACCGTCGGATCGTCCTCATTTTCAAGTATGTGGTTCTACGTCGTCTTCTCTTCCTATTCGACGGGCGGATCTTCAAATGGAAGCCCCAGTCGCCGGCGTGGTGCTTCCAACCGAAAGGTATGTCCTCTCTCTCTTTTATTTTTTAGTTTTTTTTGTTTGTTAATTTTTTGTTCTAATGGAAAAAATAATATATATAAATATATAGTTTAATGTTTTGAAATAAAAGAAAAATAGGAGAAATTTTTTTTTCTTTTTATTGCTTGTCTCATCTGAAAACCGAAAAAGGGGGAAGGGACTTTACATGGTTTTTCCAAATCAGGAGTCCCTTCTCCCTTTACATTGTTTTTTTTTTTCTAACTAGAAGTTCCCCCTACATTGTGTTTGAAAAACCCGAGAGCCCTCTTCGGTGTTACTGGAAAAACCGAGAGCTCCCTTTATTGTTTTGGCTTCGGTTTTTTAACCCTATGGTTCCCCTTGTTTTTTCGAGACCCTATACCCTCGAAATCCTCCTTTTTCGAAATCGAGACCTTCCTGTTCGAATGCACCCCCTCCTTCCTTTATCTCTTTTTGCTTTCGTTTTATCAAATCACATGATAGAGACAAAAAAAATTAATTGTCTGTTGTTGGAGTGTTGCAGGAAACTTGTTGATGGAGGCTACAGTGATGGCAGGGCATGGGGCTTCACATGGGTGACATCAACATGCAGCAGGGGATGACAGGGCATGGGCTGCTGCTGCTGCAGCAGGGTCGGGTCGGTTGAAGCCGGGTCGAGTTGTAATTTTGTAATTTGGGCTGTTGGGCCTTATTGGGCTTGTTGTAATTCGGGGCCTAGTTTTGATTTGTTGTAAAGCCTGCAATAAATTAATAATTAAATAATAATATTATTATTAATAATATATATATATATATATATATAATTAACGAGACAAAAATCGAGTGTCGACAGGAATATTTATAGAGAAAATTGTGAAGTTTGATGGAACTTATATCTTATGTCTAGTTTGATCCATTTTCTCATATCTCTTTAGTGATATGATTTTTACCATAAAATTTTCAAATTATTTAATTGTCTTTTTGTCGTGAGCTTTGAAAATATCTAATAGTAGAAATAAATTAAATTACGAGAAACAAGATGATCTTTTTGTTGAATCTTTTATATTAGTTGGGTGAGTTACACATGCGTGTATCTTCCATAAATGAGCTGTAAGGATTGCCGGCTAAAGAAATTGGGATTTCGGAAGTAATAAAGAAAGGTATATTGTCAAAATTAGTCCCTCAACATTTATTAAAATGATCATTTTGGTATCTATTTTTTAAAATATTTTAACCCTAACGCTTCATTTTAGGCTAAAAGACTCCTTACATTTGACTATATAGTCATTTTAACTTTTATTTTTTTCTCAAGCATTTTAACCACGAATGTTTATTTTAGGATAAAATGACATCTATTTTGGAATGTTAACCGCTTGTTAACTAACAGTTTTCATTCACGAAAAGATCTTTTTTTTCTCTAAAATAAAATATTTAGGGCCAAAATGTTCCAAAAAAAAGAGTCACAGTGACTGTTTAGTCAAACATTCAAACATTTGTTTTGACATTTTACCTAATAAAATTAGATATTTAATTTACATCATAAGTCACCAAACTCAAAATCCTTTAAACCGATTAAAAATTAGGTAAAGTATACAAATGGTCCTCCGGCTATATGATACTATTTTCTTGAGTCTCTCAAATATTAAAAGTTACAAAAAGACTCCTTATTATAGGATATTGCTTTCTCAAGTCCCTCGACTATTAAAAGTTATAAAACGATCACTCAACTATTCATATGTTTTAAACCTGTCATTTTCGGTTAAAAATTGACGGTCTTTTGAATTAGACGTTAACTTGCTGACTGAGATATGATACAATATGATCTCATAATCTCAAATCACTATACAATTCAAACGGTTATGAGATCATATTTTATCATATCTCAGTCAGCAAGTTAATGTCCAGCTTAGATGACCATCAATTTTTAACGAAAATGACGAGTTTGGAATATATGAATAGTAAGGTGCCCATTTTGAAACTTTTAATAGTAGAGGAACTTAATAAAACAACGACTATAGTCAAAGATCTATTTTGTAACTTTTAATAGTCGGTGAACTCAACAAAGTAATGTTATATAATCGAGGATCATTTGCGTACTTTACCCTATAAAAAGGAAAAATAAAAGAAAGCCGTAAAAGCTGGTTTTAAACTTATATATTTTCTAAAAAAATTATTGTATGGCGAGATTTAGACTACTAATCCCCTCAAGGCATACTAAAACTTTTAATGTAATACATATTTTATTAAATATTTGCTATTTTTAAAGCTTGTTTAGTATTAGAACTACTTATTAAACCAACGACCAGTTGGTCTAGTAAGATGAGACAATAGATTCCTTAAGGCGAGGTCAGGAGTTTAAATCCTGACGTTTGCGAGTAGAGCAAATTAGGTTGGGAATGTCACCCTCACCTCTGCACTACCTAATACGGACTAGTCGATCAATAGACCTAAACATTTAGCACTTAAAGTCTCTTTTTTCTTCTTTACTTTTGATGGTGTTTAAAAAAATGGTGTTACTTGAGGCTATTCATGCTGCAGTAAATTGTTGTATTAAGTCCTATATACAAATTGGATTATGGATATTCAACAAACAGACCAAATGGTATAGCAATTCTTATTTGAGCTTTCACCTTGCTAATATTATTACAACCTTACAAAATGTGTCATTCCCTCACAAGCCAATGTCCCTTCAAGATCTCCAATGATTCTAGCTATTCGAACCTCAAGACCCCTTTGAACTTCCTGAAACAAAGATTTTATGTTATCAGAGAACCGCTTCATGTCGAAACTGCCCGTATTCTCTACCTCCACCCCTGTAAACCCAGAGCTTATTTTGGTTTGAATTTCCATCAACTTTTGACCCGTTGCAACCATGTATCTCTGCAAATGGAATGTCTCCTCTAGGAAACGTTCCAGTGTTCTGGTTTCCCCTTTGCTCTTGCCACTGCTGCAATCTCCTTGACTCGAGTCCATATTGTTTTCGTGCTGAAAATTGTTATTGACATAATGATAGAAATTAACAATAGGAAAGCATTGAAATATGCATGCAAAAAAGTTGCAGATCACAGGTGAAAACCACTGATGTCATGGCTTACCATCCGCTTACAGAGATCGTCGGTCTTCCCTTGAAGCGACTGGTAGCGGCTCACTTGTTTGTTAAGCAAAGATAGCAACATTAGAAAGGCTTTCATCCCATTGTCACCCCCGTCCATGCCATCTCCACTTTCTTGCTTTCCATTTAACCTCTCAAGCATGAGAAGTTGCTGTTTCAACCTTTTGATCTTGTAAGAAACTCCAAGTGCTTGAAGATCCATCCTCCATGTGTTGTTTTTTGTTTTAGCACACTCTGAATGTGCAACTGATACTGATTTATCTCCGGACTCGACCACTAATGAACCATTAGTTTCTTCTTCAAACTCCTTTTCAGGTGATTGAACAATCAATCCTATGCTTTTGGACTCACTGCAAGATGGGATTACCTCTTCTTTATCTAGCAAGGTTGTTTTCGATTCTTGCTCCTTTTCGGTTGGTTTTTTCTTTATAATCTTGACTTTGGGCCAAAAGGAATCATGTGTTAAAGCTGGATCATGCAGAGATAAATTTAATATGTCACCCTTTTGACAACTCGGAGGCTTCAATTGTGATGCAAACTGATCCTTCAAGGAATGTAATTCTTCTTCTCTCTCCAACGGCAAGGCCTCCAATTTCATGTTGTATTGTCTGAGCTGAGACACATCCTGGTTCAGTGTTTCAACATGGGACTGCAACCGCTCGGATTCTAGTTCCATGCTCAGCAGCCGCCATCGAAATCCCTCTAGCTTCTCGTCTTTCAGTCTCATTTGTTCTGCAAATGCATCCAGCTCCAAATGATGCCTTTTCTCAATCAAATTTGCATACTTTTCGGCCTCTGCTCGAACCCAACATTCAAGCCTTTTAACATCAGCTGTCACCACTATTTTCAAATTAAAACACACAAGAAATCAAAAATCGATTACAGAAATGATCAAATCTTAAACATGATAAGTTCTGCGTTTGACTGGACTACATGAAAGACATTACAGCTACTACTAGTTCATCTGCAATGCTTGCTAAGAAGAGAATAACAGGGAAATCGTTGACAGTTCTCACCAAAATCCTCAGTCCCTTCTGGAGATTGACAATCTGTGAGAGGATAAAAGACTTCCGGGTCGGTTTTAAGTTCCGGTACATCCAATTTTGCTATGGCTTGAGCTTGGTTACGGAACATACCCTTCAATGAATGTCTCTCGTGTCTCGTCTCGGAGACGGCTTTCCACCTTTCTGTTTCCAGTTCAGCTTGCTTCTTCTTTGCCTTTGATACTTTAACCTCTTTCAAAAGCAATTGCTTCTCTGCTGTATCTAACTTTGATTTCCTTAACATTGCAGACAAGATCTTATCTTTCTGCTCCAAATCCTTGCGCATTTTTGTGATTTCCATGGACAGTTTTTGTGCCAACATAATTGATTCCTCTTTCTGTTCTACCACTGCATCAAGCTCCATTTTTGTAGCTTCAACTTGCCTAAAGGCTCGCCCCATCTCTGCTTCAAGTTGCCTCTGATTCGAAACAATCTCAATAAAGGCAGTTTTGTGTTTCCAAAGCTCAGTGGAATGCTCCTGAGCTTCACGCTTTGATGATTCCCTCAACTCTTGAGCCACACTTTCAAACTTGATTGCATTCTCTTCTAACTCCTTCACTTTCAACTCCATTTCTTCAATCATCTTGTTCTTCGACTCCACGGATAACTCGGTTTCGTTCAATTTGTGATTCAAGCCTGCAATTTCTTCCTCTTTCTTTTTTCCCAGGACACTCAGTTCATTCATAAGAGCTCCAATCTGCAACCTAAGCTTCTTCCTTTCAATCAACCATCCTTGCTCCTGTGATGCAAAGATGCTGACAACCTTTTCATTTGCTTTTGCATCTTCATGCCTCATCTGCCTCAACTCCTCAATCTCTTTCTCGACGATCTGAAGCTTTTGCAGAAGTTGGGCCTTTGCCACATTGGCTTCTTCTTCTCTTTGGGTTCTCCATAATACCAGCAACCCCAAAAGGTGAGCACTTCCTTGAACCATTTTTTCACGAAATTCACACCATTTCTCATCACCCTTTTCGGATCCAATGAGGAATCTGAGAGCAAAAAAGGCACAAGAAACACCAAAATACATTGGGTACAAGCCGTCACTTTTGTCTTCAGAGATGATTAGATATGAACCAGAGATTCTCTTCTCATCCATTACCTGTTAGAACAGCAATCAAGTTATGAAAAAAAGATAACTGAGAAGAAATCCATTTCCATATGTATTCAGTGTGATCAAATTAAGCTAGTAAAAATAATTGAGCACAAAAGGCATATCACAATAATGGAGGAACAACACTACCCTACATAATTAGCAGCAAAAAGAAAACCTTAAAAAAACTGTAGAATTCATAAGAAAATAATGTGAAACTTACAACAACAAAAGGCTGAAATACTTGGATGAACCCTAAACCCAGACCGCAGAACACCAGATTCTACAAATCCTTCATGGAAGATCTTTTCAATGGAAAATGATCCATTATAAACTATCAGGGAATACCCAACAGCATAAGCTTTTATACGTGTATAAGCCTGCCAAAATCAGTTAAAAAGAAAAAGAGCAAACTTTGACAGAATGGAAGGATTTTTTTTTTCAATTGTTTTCAGTGAGAAACCCACCTGTTTCCCATCAACTAGATTCCCGGGTCTTTGCCATCATTGCTTAACAAGGAGTTGAAGAAGAAAATAAAGAAATTTTCCTGGAACAATCCAGGAAAATATATTTTATTAATTTTCAGAGTGTCTTTTCTTTCTTTATTATTAACTGCAATCCATCGAATTAATAAGAATTGATCTAAACTACTTGTCAGTGATTACATATAGAACAGTATAGAGTTTCCTTGATCTAAAAGTCAGAACCACTTCAAAATGTGTATTGTATTTCCATTTGGGACCATATGATAAATCAAAAGTATAAGAATATGAGCCATATAAGCTTCTTTGCCTGGACCACATTATCAACTCATAAAGACAGCCTACAAATTTTTAAGCAACCAAAAGAAAATATCTTCAACAATACATTCGATACCCGTACCCCATGAAAACAAAATTTGGTTCAGTTGGAATTTAATATCTACAACAACAACAATAAAAAGATTTGTTTTGATTAATTATTTATATAAATCCGATGTAATTATATTTGTTTGTATCTATTTTTTTTTAAGTTTTTTGGATGATTTTTTTAACATATTCTTTGTACGATTGTATGATATTAGTTTTAAAAAATATCTTAATTACGTGTTTAGTTTATATTTATAGTTATAAACCTTATTGTAATTTTAAATATTTTTTAATAAAACTAGCGGTTTCTATTTACATAAAAAATTAAATATTTTTTCCTTTAGAGTTTGTATAGTTTTCTATAGATCTGATCAGTTTTTTCTTGTTTGATTTTGTTTAGCCGGCGACGATACCGATTTTTATGTTGATTGTTGACCGTCTATTCTCTTCTCTCTTCTCTCTTCACTTCTTTTTTATTTTTTTAATAAAAATGATTTTGTTTTTGTGGCACATTTTTTCTGTCTTTATGGCACATTTTTCATCATCTTTCTTGGTTGTTCTTTTATTTTATGTTTTCTCAGTGTTGGATTTAACGATGCCACGACTGACCAAGATGGTGCTTATTTGTAATCTTGTTGATCTTCCCTGCTATGGATCCTCAAATTGAATTTAGATATCTGATTTTGTGTCCATGGATAGTATCTCACAACGCTCGACTCTGATTTGCAATTATCGGTGGTCTTTCAATAGCTCAATCTCTCTTTGTAGTTCATTTACCGATGCAATCAGATTTGTTCAAGTCTTTTGGTTGCGTTTTTAACTTTTTCCATGTTTGTTCTTTGTTTTATCTAAAATGACTAGTTTGAATGTTATAGGAAAATGTCTAAAGTATGTATTTAATTTACTATAGCTATAAACCCTTATTATAATTTTGAATATTTTCAAATTAAAAAAATAATTAATTATATCTTAATCATAATCACCTAATATTTTTTAATAAGAGATGTCGAAATTTCAATAATTAGAATGAATTTAATACTTGCGAAAGCTCCTCCTAGTTGGCGAAAATTGGTGGTGAAGAGCAATTTGGGGTAAACAAAGAAGGAAGTGAATCAAGTTCATAGGCAACGTGATGAAGCCAATTCTTCATGGGTCCATAGACCATAGGTATTAAGATTTTTCCTTTTTATTTGTTTCCTTGATTGAGTCCTGTAAAGCAGGAAGTTGTTGAGGATAGGATATGCATATCCATTTTATTTAATATGTCTATCTTTTTTCTTTTCATCATTTTTACTTTATATGAATCAAACGATCTCAGTGATAAAAAAAAATTATCGTTGTTTTTTGAGATCCCAAATTCGAGTACTATAAATTTCAAAAGTGCAAACATTCAATATCAAATTGTTTAAAGTTGTCTTACCCCAAATTAATAAAAAAAAATATGTATATTCTTTTTTTCATAATTTTTTTCATAAGAAAAAATATATGAGAGCACTCTCTCATCCCATAATTTGATTCTTATCATATATTTAATATTCTCGAGATCTGCTCTCGAAATTTGGATTAAAACTCAAATAGTTGAAAATTCATTTGATTATGCAGGAAGCAATCAAACGAAAAAAAAGGGTAAACTACAATGATGATTATTATTTTAGTTTTAGTTTTATTTCATTTTGATCATTAGTTATATATATATATATATATTTTTTATTTATTTTATTAATTTATTATATTTTAATTATGAAACCATTAATTATTATACCTTTGATAATCTGATAGGTTAAAAATAATTAATTTTTATTTGATCCAAAAAAATTTAAATAAATTTTAAATTAGTATATTTGAAAGTATTATTACAATACTCTACAAGTGGATTATGTTCACGGCGAATTAGGCGGAACTAGAAAATTTATTTTAAGTGTCTAATTTAGAGGAAATTTATTTTAGGTGCCAAATTCAGATGATTTTTTTTAATTGATGAAAATAAATAATGGGTGTCAATTTATGTTTAAGAGTATCAATATTCTTTTAAAAGTATATTTTATTAATTTTTAAATATTTTATATTAAATTTATATTTAAAAAATTAAAAAAAAACAAATTAGAGTATCATATGACACCTCTCATTGTAACCTGAATCCGCCAAAACGGGAAACAAATAAAGAATGAATATGGCCGGTTAAAAACAAATGACATTTAATTCTTTAAGTGGCTTTAATAATAATAAAAAAGAATCTTATTTTTTAAAAGATTTTGAATTCAAGCAATTATGTTTGCAGAGTATATATACATTGTCCGTTGATTTTTTTTTATAAATCTAGAGTAAATATATGATAATATATGTCAAAGACTCAATCATTTGACAATCAACACTCGTATCCTTTGTATTTGTGATATTCGAAGTCTAAATTTTAAGAAAATTTTAAATAAATACTACCTTATAATCGTCTGAAACTATTTTAAAATCAAATGATTGACACTGAATTTCCATTTCTACAACGCTGGACTCCTCCATAAGCTGGGTAAGGAATTGAGTATTGATCAGTAGGTTGTTAAAAATCAAATTCTACAATCTTAAAAATCAATTTTTTAATATATCGTATCAATAAATTAATAATATTTAATAATTCGATAATCAAAATATAATAAATTAATAATATAAATAATTAAATCATAATATTTTTAATTTAAAAATAAATAAAAATGATCATAGTTTACTTAAAAAAATAAATAATGATAGTCTATGGCTTTAATTCCCGTTTATTGCATGATCTTTTTCCAACGATGTAAGATTATTTTGTAAATTTTATAGTAATGATGAACTGAATATGGGCCCCACTTGTTTGAAACGACGTAGATAATTGAGGCAATTAAGAGCTGAGCTTTCCATCCCATTCAGCTATAGTTCAACCATCCTAGTTAAAATTCTTTTAAAAAATCATATTAGTATTATATGTTTTGGTAAAACATATTATATATTTTAAAATAGGATAACGATGTCACGCACGACAAACATGGAAGAGCACAAAACTATTAAATTAATTTATAAAATGTTAAATTATAAAGTATTAAATGTATAATTATAAATTAATTAAAATCTAAATGTAATTTAATTAAAATAAAATATTAGTTTTTATAATCTTATTTTAATCATAATTAGATCAAATATTAATTTGATAAATTTATAAACCCTAATTTATTTTCATAGCTTTGAAGCTCTCGTTGCTGCTATCGGTATCATCTTTCACCACTGACGAACGACAAAGACTAAATTGCCGACGAAAGATGATACAAATGGCGGCTGCGGCGGCGGCGACAACAATGACGACAACAAAAGCTTTAAAGTTATGAAAATAAATTAGCGTTTATAAATTTCTCAAATTAATATTTGATATAATTATAATTAAAATAAGATTATAAAAACTATTGTTTTATAAATATTTTATTTTAATTAAAATACATTTAGATTTTTTAATTAATTTTATAATTATACATTTGGTATTTTATAATTTAACATTTTACAAATTAATTTAGTGGTGTTCATCGTTAATGGTACTCATCCACGCTTGACGAACGTTATAAACTTTTTTTAATAATATTATTATTATTTGAAATTTTAAAAGTTAACTATAAAATAAATATGAAAGACAAAAGAAAAAAATAGAATAACATGTAAAAGAAATCGTCCAAAAATAAGAAACCAAATTGACTTCATAAGTAAAATCATAATAATAATATAGATATGTTCGAATCCGAAGGAACAACTATGTAAAATTTATTGAATTTGTTTTAGTAATTAGGGTGAGTATTATTCTTTTTAAAATTTTAGATTATGTCTATAAGATATATATGCATTCAGGACCGTATTTGGGCCTGGGCAGGAGGGACACCTGCCCAAGGCCTAGAATTTTGTAATGCATTATACTTTTAAAAAATGGTTATGTATTAGTTACTATGTGTAATTATTTTTAATACTTGTTATTAAAAAATGATTGTCCTTTGTTCTCATATCTAATGGGGTAAGGGGAGGTAAAATACTTGTTATTAAGAGTTTAATTTTTCCTCGATATTTATTATTACGGCCTCAATTATTTTTAATATTTATTATTAGAGGCACACTTTTATACTTTTTTCTTCTAATATTTGTATAGGCGTCTAATTTTTTGACAATATTTTTTCTAACATTTGTTGTTAAGAGGCCCATTGTTTCAATACTTGATTCATAGACATAATTTTTTCAATATTTGTTATTAGGGGTATACTTTTAAATTTGTTTTTCTTTTCTAATATTTATTTGTTATTATGAGTCCAATTTGTTCAATACTCTTATTAGAGGTCTAATTATTTTTCAATATTTGTTATTATGAGCATACTCGTAAAATTTATTTTTAAATATTTTTTATTAAGACCCATTTTTTCAATACTTGTTATTATGGAGCTACCCCTTAGAATTTATTTTTTTCAACACTTGTTATTAGGAACAATTACTTAAATAACAGTCTGTAACCACAACAACGACCGTTATGTAGTTGTAACGACATCGTTTGAAACTATGATATTCATAATTGTTATGTCCACAATAGCATATGTTGTTAAAAATTCACTCTCGGAACGATCCTTAAGCTTTTTGGAGCTATTTCGGGGATCGATCCAACTTAATCTTGTAAAAGGTTGGGTTTTAAAATAAACGTAGAAATAAGTAAATTTGGAGTCGCCATC